ACATGTGGGGGGTGTGACAAAGTATATGTAGGGGAAACAGCCAGAACTCTGGACATTAGGATAGCAGAACACAAAAATGCTTGCAGAAATGATGACCGCAAAAACGCATGTGTTCAACATAGAGACGATGTTGGACACCTCATGAAATTCAGTGAAGCTAAACTAGTTATTAAAGAAGACGACTTAAGACGGAGAAAATGCATTGAAGCTGCAACTAATTCTGTCAGTAACACTATAAAGCAAAAGTCCGGTAGTTACAGTATTTCAAAATTATTAAGCAAGAGGATATTACCCATCCTGGGAACTGGTGTTACTTGATGCCAGCAGGTCCCTCTCTAACCTCACCTCCTTAGTTCCATTACTACTACTACTACTACTACTACCACCTCTACCCACGCTTCACCTCACCTGACTCCCACCACTATATATATGTGTGTTTTCTTAGTTTTCTCTGTATTAGGACTGAAGAAGCCACTCGTGGCGAAACGTTTCCTTTAATAAATGTCCTGAACTGTACATAAGTGTCTTTTTCCACATCTTGTCGGTATCACCATACCATTTCCTCACACTTATGTACAGTTCAGGACATTTATTAAAGGAAACGTTTCGCCACGAGTGGCTTCTTCAGTCCTAATACAGAGAAAACTAAGGACTGAAGAAGCCACTCGTGGCGAAACGTTTCCTTTAATAAATGTCCTGAACTGTACATAAGTGTCTTTTTCCACATCTTGTCGGTATCACCATACCATTTCCTCTTCATCAGTTGGGTTATTGAGGCTAAGACTTTGGGTAGTTTCAAATTTAGGTTGGATAAATATATGAGTGAGAGGGGTTGGATTTGAGTGGGACTTGCAAATGAGTGGATAGAGTTACCAGACCTTATTTCCTGGGTAGCATTGGAAATTGTTTTGGGCAAATGTTTTGTTAGTGGGATGGATTGTAAAGGACCTGCCTAGCATGGGCCAACAGGCCTGCTGCAGTGTTCCTCCTTTCAAATCCACTCAAATCTAACCCTCCTCACTCGTGTATTTGTCCAACCTAAATTTGAAACTACCCAAGGTCGTCTATATATATATTTCTGAACATTAAAATGGTATAAAATACCGACAGGTTGTTAGGTATTTCTATAGTGTTATATATTTCTATAGTGTCCATGCCACTGAACTGTGAACGTCACAAATATACCCAAATGTTTAACGTGTTTAATTCATCTTGTCGGTATTGTATACCATTGATATACAAAATGAAAAGCAGTCGACACATGTGACGTGAGTATATATAAGCGCCATACATCCTGCTCCTGCTCACAGACGGGTCATCGCAAGACCCGTGCCAGGACCCGTTTGTGGATGTGTAGTTACCCAGTATTCCTCATTCACCATGGAAGAAGCGTATGATTATCTTTTCTTGTACTTTGACAACATGAGGGAGCAGATGGAGGAGCGGGGAAAGATCCTAAGGATCTCCATCATCAAATTCGCCTCTCTGAACTGTGTACTAAGTAATCCCAATCTCTGCTTGTTGAAGTACGTGTCTGTCAAGAATGTTATTGACCGCGTGAACAAGGAGCTGGCCAAGGATTGGCAAGATCTGAAGGACAAGCAACTCTACCTCAAGTATTTACTCATGAAGTACACGCCGCCCAGCGACTCGCTATCAAAAATCTCTCTATTTCTCACATTTACACCTGCAGCCTCACTTAACGCTGCTTCTCAATCCAACTCCTCTTTCTCCGAGATGCTTCCATCCACCTCCTCTCCGACCAGAGTATCTTCAGCCATTCATCCGCCTAAGCTGCCTTTAACCATCACCTCCACGATATCTTCATCCAGAATCTGGTCTTCTGAAGCCTCTCTGTCTAAGACATTTCCATCCATTATATCTTCATCCAGTGCCGCTCGATCGAAGATTTCGCCATTTGTTGAAACTACATCCAAAATGTCTTCATCTAGTGCCGCTCCATCCAATAAATCTTCATCCAGTGCTGCTCCATCCAAAATATCTTCATCCAAGGTCTCGTGTTCTAGAGCCTCTACGTCCAACATATCTTCAGCCAGTGACTCTCCCTCCAAGATCTTGAATTGCAGCTCTTCTCTCAGATTCTCGTGCTTTGGAGCCTCTTCAAGAATTTTGTCTTTCATATCCTCTCCGTCTGAGATTTCACCATACAGTGGCTCTCCCTCCAGGATATCTTCATCTAGTGGCTCTCCTTCCAGGATCTCACCATCCCGTGGCTCTACTTTTAGGGCTGTGCCATCTAGTGGCTCTACTTTTAGGGCTGTGCCATCTAGTGGCTCTACTTCTAGAGCTGTGCCATCTAGTGGCTCTACTTCTAGAGCTGTGCCATCTAGTGGCTCTACTTCTAGAGCTGTGCCATCTAGTGGCTCTACTTCTAGAGCTGTGCCATCTAGTGGCTCTACTTCTAGAGCTGTGCCATCTAGTGGCTCTACTTCTAGGGCTGTGCCATCCAGTGGCTCTACTTCTAGGACTGTGCCATTCAGTGGCTCTACTTCTAGGACTGTGCCATTCAGTGGCTCTACTTCTAGGACTGTGCCATCCAGTGACTCTCCTTCCAGGATCTCACCATCTAAAGGCTCTACTTCCAGGATCTCACCATCTAAAGGCTCTACTTCCAGGACATCTTCATCTGTTATTTCACCATCCAGGATCTCATTATCCAAGGGGTCTCCTTCCAGGATGACTTCATCCAGTGGCTCTCCTCCCAGGATCTCACCATCAAGTGCGGCGTCTTCCAGAATACCTCCATCCAATAACTGTGCTTCTAGAATGTCTCCATCCAATGACTGTCCTTCAAAGATCTCAGCAACCCCGGGCCATATTTCCAAGATTCCAGTGCCCAATGCCTCTGCTCCTAAGGCATTGCAACTCAATGCCTCTTCCAGGATCTCTCAATTGCAAGATCCCCACCGTCCAGGATCCTGCAGTCCAATGCCTCTCCGTCCAAAACATAAACCAATGACTTGTCCTGTGTATCCTGCTTGAAAATGCCTGGTGTCTTACCATATCACGGGTGGGGTTTGAACCTGCGGTCAGTCTCAAAACTCTGGCCTAGTGGCTAACGCGACGGTATGGAGTTTTGAGCATCTCTGACTCCGGGTTCTAACCCTACTCGTGGTATGGTATATATTTTTAAATATGTATAATTTCCTAATAAAGCTATATGATTCATTATGTCTTATTAGCAACGTTATTTACTAGTGAATAAATATGCCAACAGCTGGTAAATAATCTACAATGCGTTTTATGTATATATATATATATATTGTATATGATGAGATGTTGTATATGAGAGAAAAAGGACTTTTTACCTGACTGAGTTGTCAAATTTCTAGCAAAGAATGATCTATGCACCTTAATTTTAATCTCGTAACATAATACATGTCATAATATTACCATAAAACACGATGTACATCCCGTATAACGAGCAATAGTAACACGTGAGGATGTTATTATAATCATGAACTAAGCTCTAAACCCACAGGAGAAGATAGACGGGAGTTGTGTGTGTTTGAGACTTAATATATAACCTGGGATTGTATAGCAACTTTGGTTCGGATTTTGATTTCAGTGCCATGTTATTCTCTGTCTTCTTAGCCTCTCTCCTTACCTGTGAATATTCGTTTCTGGTTTTGCTCGCTTCCCTGTTTTCTTTTGTTGTTTTCTTTATATAATTTTTCCATACTCTTACCCTGTTAGTGTCAGCTCACCTTGTTCTTGCCACGGCTTTTCCTGCCTCTTGGAAATGGGTTGGGCAAATATTTTTGTTAATGGGGTTTGTCTTTGCCTAGTATGGGCCAGTAGGCCTGTTGCAGTGTTCCTCCTTAAGCTCTTATGTTTCATGTGCCTCCAGGCACATACCAGCTATTTTTTTTATTAACACATCGGCAATTTCCCACCAAGGCAGGGTGACCCGAAAAAGAAAATCTTTCATCATTCACTCCATCACTGTCTTACTAGAGGCGAGCTTACACTACAGTTATAAAACTGCAACATTAACACCCCTCCTTCAGAGTACCGGCACTGTACTTCCCAGTTTCGGGAATCCAGTCCGACCTGCGGGTTTTCCTGAATCCCTTCACAAATGTTACCTTGCTTACACTCCAACAGCACGTCAAGTCCTAAAAATCATTTGTCTCCATCTGCTCTATCTAACACGCTCACGCACTCTTGCTGGAAGTCCAGGCCCCTCCCTTTTTCATTCACTATTTAGGTGGCCCGGTGGCCTGGTGGCTAAAGCTCCCGCTTCACACACGGAGGGCCCGGGTTCGATTCCCGGGGGGTGGAAACATTTCGACACGTTTCCTTACACCTGTTGTCCTGTTCACCTAGCAGCAAATAGGTACCTGGGTGTTAGTCGACTGGTGTGGGTCGCATCCTGGGGGACAAGATTAAGGACCCCAATGGAAATAAGTTAGACAGTCCTCGATGACGCACTGACTTTCTTGGGTTATCCTGGGTGGCTAACCCTCCGGGGTTAAAAATCCGAACGAAATCTTATCTTATCTTATCTTATCTTATCTAGTTCCCCTTCCAACTGTACTTCATTTAGGAATTATCTCACATCATTGTAATCCTCTCTTTTGATCCTGGTTTCTTCCTTTCATACTCAATAACATCGTATTTTGCCTTCATCATTTAGAATCACTTAGTGTGAATATTAGTTCCAGCCTTGCTGGTTCACCCGCTCCTCTATGTTCATGTATTTAGCATGCTGGTACCTTATGGTGTGTATATATACCATGTAAAATGTATATACTTCTCGATGTACATACACTGTTATTTTAAATAGGTCGAATAATTTGAACCAAAACTAATTTATCGCTCTGAAAATTGTAAATATTGGCAGGAATCTTATTTTATTCCTCGTCATTTACATTCAGCAGTTCTTAACAATTCTCCATTATATAATTTTAAGTATCTACCATCTCTCTATGACTTTATTTATCCCCGAGGTGCCCATTATTCCTCCCCAAAATGGTTTAATTTAATAATACTGCGGATACATATTTTCACTTGGTTTTCCTGGTCGGCTCCCTGCGAGCTCATCTATATGTGACGGGAACCCAGGAAGAGGATTGGATTCTTTATCAAATTCATTTTGTAGAATCGAGTAGCATCTTAGTAGCATCGGATTCCTTTAAAATCAGCTGGCGGCGGTAAAGGGTTTGGGAGTCTATAGTGGAGTAAAGGTTTGCGGAAACCAATTGTTTATGTCAAAAGTTTGTGACCAACTTGCACTAAGAATGACTTGAGACGATGCACATTTCTGCCATGGATAACACGATCGAAAACTGCCAAGAAATAGATGCGGATGAAGTTCACTTTTTAGAGGTAAAGCTTCGTGCCCTCATTATTTGAGAAGTAATATATATATATATATACACATGTATATATGTATATATGTATATATATATATATATAATATATATATATATATATATATATATATATATATATATATATATATATATATATATATATTGCGTGATTATTATTATTATTATAATTATTACAGCAATAGTCGTAACTGAGCGCTAAACCCACACACGCAATGTGTGATAATTGTACTTGTGTGTACCTGTGCCTAAATAAAATTGTGTTTATTGTGATTTTTTTTTTTGGCATTCTCTATTATAGTAATATTGATAATAATAATAATAATAATAATAATAATCGTTATTTCTACAGGTACATCCCCTCAAGGGAGGTTCCTTGACGCTGGTGAGGGGCTCTTGATCCGAGGAATTGGATTTGTGCCCCCCACCCTAGTTCCCTGAATTGAGCCTGATTATGCCTTCTATCCCCCCCACAGGCACTGTAAGAGCCCTACGGGTTTAGCTCTCTCCCATGATTATATTAATATTCTACAAGTACACAATACAACTTATACAGACCATCGCTGATAATAATGATATACTGTAAGAAAGTCCCATTTTACGCAGAGCATTTCGGGCAAATTTGGTTAAGTTTGTCCCCCAGGATGCGTCCCACACCAGTCGACTAACACCCAGGTGCCTATTTTACTGAACATAGACAGCAGGTGTCTGGCGTCATAATGTTTCCACCCGTACCGGGGATTGAACCACGGACCTCGGTGTGAGAGCTGAGTGCGCTAGCAGTCGAACTACAGGACACGAGGGGTTGTGGAGAAGCTGTTTGGGGGACTGCTGAGGACATTTTTGGGAATTATCTCTTGATCCATTATGCTGGTGCTGCATTTCTTCTATACACAAATAACTTGCACATAAAAGAGAGAAGCTTACGACGACGTTTCGGTCCGACTTGGACCGGGTTATTTGTGTATCGTTCCAGTCACAGTATTGTGGCTTTTTTTGTTATCTACATTTCTTCTCTTTGATAGCCTCTAATTTATCATGACTTTATAAAGGATCCCAGTGGGATTAGTCAAGGACTCCAATGGATAAATAAGTCACTTCGACTTTTTTGGGTTATCCTCGGTAATCTACACATATGGTAAAATATTGTTCCAATAAAACTTGTACTGTAACCTGCCTCTGGATCTAAAGTCTAGCCTAACCCATCTGATGCATACTGTATCTTGCTTAAATTTTGCTCATTCCTGCCCTAGATTATAACTACATAAGATAAGATTTTGTTTGGATTTTTAACCCCAGAGGGTTAGCCACCCAGAATAACCCAAGAAGGCAGTGCATCATCGAGGACTGCCTGTCTTATTTCCATTGGGGTCCTCAATCATGTCCCCAAGGATGCAACCCACATCAGCCATCTAACCTAGGTACCTACTTGCTGCTAGGTGAACAGGACAACAGGTGTAAGGAAACGTGTCGAAATGATTCTACCCCGCCGGGAATCGAACTCGGGCCCTCCGTGTGTGAAGCGAGAGCTTTGCCAGCCAGGCCACGGGTTCACCCAATGTATCACTAATGTAGTTTTATAACAAGAAGACATTGAGTTTCTTGTACCTGGAGTTTACCTGGAGAGAGTTCCAGGGGTCAACGCCCCCGTGGCCTGGTCTGTGACCAGGCCGCCTGGTGGATCAGAGCCTGATCAACCAGGCTGTTACTGCTAGCTGCATGCAAACCAACGTACGAGCCACAGCCCGGCTGGTACGGTATCACTCTTTGAAGACACTGGTTGTATATACAGGCATACCTCTGTATTATGGTGGGTTAGGTTCCAGACTGCCACCGTAAAGCAAATATCGCCTTAGTGAATAGCAGTTTTTTTTTTTTTACTTACTAGTGCATATAAAACCCTAAAAAACATGTTTACACTGTCATTTAAGTACACCTACCATCCGACTTACGACCTGCTCGACTTACAACCACTCGACTTACGACCGTGTTTTTTATGCCAAATTTCTGGGAAATAAACAACTATTTATGTTGAATAAAGTATTTATCCTAAACCTTATAGTATAAAATACAGTACTAACAACATAAAAAGTAAAGTAAAACATGAAATACCAAAATAAAACAATAAAATAGTCATTACAAAAATGTTTTGTTGATATTCAGTAGTAAAGTTCGACTTACGACCATTTCGACTTACGACCGGTTTCTCGGAACCGAACTCGGTCGTAAGTCAGATGGTAGGTGTATTTAGTAGCACTCGGCCTATAAAACCAATGCAAGAAACAAAAAAAAAAATAAGTAAAAAAATTTGAAAATTGCTGAAAACCATCTTAAGAGCAAGGCAAGCGCCAAAAATAATAAATATGAATATAATTGAAATGTGCCATTATGGCGAAGCACTCTAAAGCAAGCACTGTATTAACAAGGTATGCCTAAATGGTTTTGTAGCAGTTATTATTAAGAGACTGCTGGTGTACACTGTACGCTAAAAGTGACTCATCTAATTACTTAGCTCTCACAAAATCATAGAATATGCCATTATTTTACTTTACGTGTAATATATCATTATTCGTACAGAGCTGAAAATGGCCCATTTTGTGCTGTTCAATTTTATATACACCGCCTCTGTTTATTTTCACTCATTTAAAATTGCTGAATTTATAACTACAGTGGAACCTCAAATATCGAACTTTCTTCAGTCCAGAAGGCTGTTCGAGTGCCTTTACTGAATGAATTTATTCCCATCAGGAATAATGTAAATTAGATTAGTCCATTTCAGACTCTCAAAAATACACTTATAAAAGCACTTACAAAAACACACTTACATAAGTGGTTGTGTTGGGAGCGGTTTGATTTTTGAGGTTCCACTGTATATTATTGAAAACTTGTTTTTATTTATTTATGTTCCATACATTTGACAGCTATCATCAATAAGAATATTTTTTTAAGAAATAAAATATTGAAGAGCTCATCTCTGGTTGCATTAATGAAATGTTGTATATATTTTATATTCTTGTTGCTAGAATTGCTTTCCTTTTGCAAAAATTCAACCTATACAACTTGCACAGATTATCCCTAGTTATCATCAAGTTTTATTATTGCCAATTTATTTACAGGTGCTAGTGTTTTAATGCCTGATAAATTTTGTTTGCAGAGCATAGGCAAGGGATCATTTGGTGTTGTGTACAAAGCACTGTGGAGAGGCCTTACAGTAGCAGTAAAGAAAGTAGAAACAGAGTCTGAGGTATGTAGTTGTGCCTTACCTAATTTGTTTTCTTCTCAAAGCCCATTTGGGATGATTGTCCTTTAAAAATTGCAGAGGAAGATAATGGTGATGCTTCTTAAATATGTAATTCTGCTTTTTAATTCCATCCATGACCAAACCTATTACAAACCACTGTATGGGTGAGGTTTGAACTCACGGCAAGCAAGTCGTAAAATTCCAGGCCAGTGCGTAAGACTCGGCCAGCTGGAGTTTTATGATTCACTCACCGTGGCTTCAAACCCCCACCTGTACCGTGGTTTGTCTATAATCATATCATTACAATTTCACAAGTCAAATCTATTACAATTACTGAGACAACAGCTACCTCGTTAGAATATACAGTGGAACCTCAAGTTTCGAACTGCTCCCAACTCGACCAATTATGTAAGTGTATTATTGTAAGTGCTTTTGTAAGTGTATATTTGGGGGTCTGAAATGGACTGATCTAATTTACATTATTCCTTATGAGAATAAATTTGTTCGGTAACGGCACTCGAACAGCCTTCTGGAACGAAGAAAGTTCGAGAAAGTTCGAAACTCGGGGTTCCACTGTATCCGGATCATTATAATAGCTCCTCATATTGAACAGCTGCATACTACCCAGCCATTCTAATCACAGTTGTTAAAAAACCTCCATTAGAAATAATTAAAATCACACTCAGGCTTAATAATAAAGCGTCAAAAACAAATTACAACAGTTAGAAATATTGACTGGCAAACAGAATTAATTAGTACTCGAGCCATTAAAATGTGTTATTTTTTTTTTTACTTAAAATTCAAAACCTCAGTAATAACACACTGCCATCTAAAAACTAAACAAATCACAAAGAAGAGACTAAATAACCCATGGTAAACTAAAAGGATATTAAGTTCCATTGCCAGTAATCATGGCTTTGAAAAAAGCATAGACTTGGCCTAATCACCAATTAAATATGAAAAAGATATCCATCAGTACATACCATTCTAAATAGGCTCACTGAAATCAGAAGAGGTATTAAAAAGACCTTAAAAATACTCTGAACCTAGGATCAAGAAGAATCATTATTAAATTATTACTCTTTGTAACCCCCTCATGGGAGGTTCCTTGGTATTGGTGAGAAGTTCTTGTTTTAAGGAATTCCTTGAATCAAACCTGAATACCTTCCATTTCCCCAGGTGCTGTATGACCCTGTGGGTGTAGTTCTTCCCCATGACTATATTAATAATATTCTTGCTAAGATTGAGAAACCTCTCATCTTGACTATTGATACTATTATTACCCGTCAAGGAAGATTCATTGATGCCATTGAATTGGATGAAATTGCAAATAGAAGTGAGACTTTTAAATAGCAGATTTGCATAGAGCAAACTCTCCAAGTGAACTTGCATTCATGGAATGCTCGTAAACCAAACCTGCATGAAGCAAGGGAAACTTGTACATAGATATCTTTCCCAGAATTATGTGGGAAAATAAATGTTGTTCCGTATTCAGAAAATCTGGGGATCTTTGTACTGTTATTACATTTTGTATGGTTGGTGCTCAATGGTAGAAAGAGTTTGTAATTTAGAAGAAGCCCCTATCACTTTAACATCCTATGGAGAGGGAGCATGGACACTGGTTTCTTTCCACAGTTACTAAAAACAACAGACATAGCCCCACTCCACAAAGGGGGCAGTAAAGCAATAGCAAAGAACTACAGACTGATAGTGCTAACGTCCCATATAAAAATCTTTGAAAGGGTTCTAAGAAGCAAGATCACCGCCCATCGAGATACCCATCAGTTACACAACCCAGGGCAGCATGGGTTTAGAGCAGGTCGCTCCTGTCTGTTCCAACTGAACAAGAAACTTCTTCATAGCTATCCCACGTAAGAACATAAGAATGGAGAAACACTGCAGAAGGTCTATGCATATGCTTATCCAATCTCTCTTTCAAGCTACCCAAGATATTAGACTATAACCCTACTCGGTAGATTGTCACATGCAGCATTCTCCACCTGACCCAGCATTTTCAACCTGACTTCATCCTATAAATACTCAGGTACCTTCCACCTAGGTAGATCTGTTTATGACTTGATAAAGCCCACTGTATGGGTGAAACGTTGTCAATAAAGGATCACGTTATACTGCATGTGTGTTTATATTTCCATTGTGTCGGTATTTTATACCATTTATTTCCACTGTCCCAACTACTGGACCACTATGAGAAGGTCATGGATGCTTTAGAAGACAAAATGCAGATGTAATATACACAGACTTTGCAAAAGCCTTTGACAAGTGTGACTATGGTGTAATAGTGCACAAAATATGTGATAAAGGAATAACAGGAAAAGTTGGTAGAAAGATCAATAATTTCCTTACAAATAGAACACAAAGAGTAGCAGTCACCAGAGTAAAGTTTGAGGCAGATACAGTGAAAAGCTCTGCTCCACAAGGCACAGTACTTGCTCCCATCTTGTTCCTCATCCTCATATCAGACATAGACAGGGATGTAAGACAAAGCACCGTGTCTTCCTTTGCAGATGACACCCGAATTTCCATGACAGTGTCTTCCATTGAAGACACTGTAAGACTCCAGGTGGACACCAACCAGATTTTTAAATGGGCTGCAGAAAACAATATGAAGTTCAATGATGAGAAATTTCAATTACTCCGATATGGAAAACATGAAGTTAAAACTTCATCAGAGTATAAAACAAATTCCAATGACACAAAAAACTAATGTCAAAGACCTGGGAGTGATCATGTCAGAGGATCTCACCTTCAAGGACCATAACATTGTATCAATCGCATCTTCTAGAAAAATGACAGGATGGATAATGAGAACCTTCAAAACCAGGGATGCCAAGCCCATGATGACACTCTTCAGGTTGCTTGTTTTATCTAGGCTGTAATATTGCTGTACATTAACAGCACCTTTCAAGGCAGGTGAAATTGCTGACCTAGAAAATGTACAGAGAATCTTCACGGCACGCATAACCGCGATAAAACACCTCAACTACTGGGAACACTTGAAGTTCCTCAACCCGTACTCCCTAGAACGCAGGCAGGAGAGATACATGATTATATATATTTGGAAAATCCTAGAGGGATTAGTACCAAACTTGCACACGAAAATCACTCCCTACGAAAGCAAAAGACTCAGCAGATGATGCAACATCCCCCCAATGAAAAGCAGGGGTGCCACTAGCACAATAAGAGAACACAATAAGTGTCAGGGGCCCAAGACTGTTCAACTGCCTCTCAGCATACATAAGGGAGATTACCAATAGATCCCTGGCTGTCTTCAAGCAGGCCTTGGACAGGCACCTAAAGTCGGTACCTGACCAGCCGGGCTGTGGTTCGTACATTGGTTTGCTTGCAGCCAGCAGTAGCAGCCTGGTGCATCAGGCCCTGATCCACATGAGGCCTGGTCACAGACCGGGCCGCGGGGGCGTTGACCCCCGGAACTCTCTCCAGGTAAACTCCAGGTATAAGGTTACACCAAGTTGGATAGATCTTAGGCCTACATGGTACAATGGATAGCGCACTGACCTGCTTATTTTAGGTCTTGAGAACATGTTTTGGGTAATTTGTGAATTATTCTAATGATGGTAGCCTGACTTTCATTCTTGAATTTTTCACGTAATTCAATATTTTCTTCAGGTAAATGCGTTTTGTAATGAGGTGCAGCAGTTGGCTCGTGTTCAGCACGAGAATATCATCTACCTATACGGAGCCTGCACCTCTGACTTTCAGAAATGTCTCATCATTGAATATGCTGATGGGGGATCCCTCTATCATTGTGAGTATTTCCCCCCCCCCTTTCTTCATCTTCAAAAGTCAAATTTTGTAAATTAATAAAAAATAACTAAGCTTCTGCAGTCAGGCTTTTAGAATGTGCCATTGTTGATTTAGTAGGTAAAAAAGTACAGCATGTCACTTGTGACAGTCTAGGATGGACTGAAATGTTGAGTTTCCATTTCCAATTTGTCTTAGTTGTGAGTTTTTCCAGCTGTGTTGAGAATGTTCTTGTGTCACAAGCTGTGATACATGCAGTTGCATAATTTAGGACACATGGGAAGTGAAAGAGAATTCTAAAGAAATAAGAGACTGGAATGAATTCAAGTCTAGAGTAAAGTATTTAGAAGAACTCTTAAATGCTAATGCTTGGGGTATGTAATGAATATAAGCATGTGTTTATTACATATTGTTCTTGTATGTTTGAATATTTACTTCTACTCACATTTCACAATTAAATAGCAATTTGGTGATTTGAAATGTCTATAAAAAATGGGTTTGTTGTGTGTAGGTGGCTCATTGCTTGGTACTTGGTGTTCTGCCTTTGATGTTCTTGGGGGGTGACACAACAGTGATGGATAGTTAGCAACATGGTTTATGACTATTCTTTTCATTAGCATGAATGTTTATGAAGAGATTGGGGAAACAGGTTCGCCAGACTTAAGTTCTGGAGGTAGTAAGTCACAGTTCCTGCACTCTGACGATGGGTGGGGGAAGTTGGATTTGGAGAAGCTATTTGAAGTGTGATTTCTGTACTTCTGGCAAAGCAGCTGTTAATTGAATGATAGTGAATGTGTTTGCTTTGGGTCACTCTACCTTGGTAGGAAGGAATGGAAAATTATTCTAAATTGTTGCTCTGTTCAACAGTGCTGCACAACTCCCCCAACACTGAGTATAACCTGGCACATGGAATCTCCTGGTTGCTACAGTGTGCTAAGGCTGTATCCTACCTCCATGCCATACAACCAAGACCTTTGTTACACAGGTAGGTAGCACACTTCTTGACCTCTATATAGCCAAAACCTTTGTTCCATAAATAGGTAGCACATTGCTTGACCATAAAAATATTCTTTTCTAGTTTTGCTGTTAATGACATTTTTATCTACTGAGCCCTTAAAGTGTTACCTGTGGTGACATTGTTATTTCTAGGTCCCCCTCCCTACCATCCTCTCCTCCTCCCTCCTCTTCTCTCATGCTTCCTCCCTTCCACCACTCCTACCTCACTCCATTCCTCCCACTGATTTTTCAGATACAATTTTTTTTTTTCAACAAGTCAGCCGTCTCCCACCGAGGCAGGGTGACCCAAAAAGAAAGAAAAAATCCCCAAAAAGAAAATACTTTCATCATCATTCAACACTTTCACCTCACTCACTTCACTCACTCACCTCACACAAATATGTAATTTATTTCTTTCCTGCAGTTTGCAAGTAATGTAGGTTATATATAATAAAATATTAGGCACACCTTTTTTTCTTATTCAGAGTTTGTGTACACACCATACCGATATGTTTTTGGGGTTGTCTTGAGGGCAGGATTACTGGAGATGGACTTGCTTTATGTTCTTATATACCTTTTCTGTTATTTTCATTATTTGTACATTTTTTTTTTTTTTTTTTTGGGGGGGGGGGAGGGGGTATGCATTCATAAAACGTGGGGTATAATTCAGGGCATATTTATTTAAAAATTGTTAATTATGCCAGTAATATACGACACTGTTTTTTCAGGGACCTTAAACCTCCAAATTTACTCTTGACGAAAGGAGCCAAGATTCTCAAAGTATGTGATTTTGGAACTGCCTGTGAATTAAGCACCATTATGTCAGATAACCGGGGATCTGCAGCATGGATGGCACCTGAAGTATTTGAAGGTAAGCAACCATTTGCATATACACCTACCATCCGACTTACGACCGAGTTCGGTTCCGAGAAACCGGTCGTAAGTCGAAATGGTCGTAAGTCGAACTTTACTACTGAATATCAACAAAACATTTTTGTAATGACTTTATTTTATTGTTTTATTTTGGTATTTCGTGTTTTACTTTACTTTTTATGCTCTTAGTACTGTATTTTATACTGTAAGGTTTAGGATAAACACTGTGTACAACACAAATAGTTGTTTATTTCCCAGAAATTTGGCATAAAAAACACGGTCGTAAGTCGAGTGGTCGTAAGTCGAGCAGGTCGTAAGTCAGATGGTAGGTGTATATGCTATGCAGTAATCGCGAACAAGCGATACAAGATGCAAAACAACCACAGAGGGGGTTGAATGATAGCTCTAGGTCTTTTGTGTTGTAATCAATACATCATCAGGAGCTTGCAATGTTGTAAAAATAGAGTAAGAAATCCAGGAAGGTCTGTTCATGTAAATTGCTCTTGCAAGGATCATCCAGTCACTGCATTATGCCTTTTTGTTCTTTATTTGCTGTATTTATTTTTCTTCTTATATAGTGTATACACTGAGGAATTATATATTAGACTCTTAGTTTGTATTATACAGACCTAACTGGGATTTTCTTATGTAATTACCATATATTTATTTTCTGCTTTCAGGTAAACTGTACACAGAAAAATGCGATGTATATAGTTGGGGCATTATTCTGTGGGAGGTGATGACCCGTCGTGTACCATTCGCAGATCTTGGCTTAGCTGTTCGCATTATGTGGGCAGTTCACCAGAAGCAGCGACCACCATTAGTAACTGGCTGTCCAAAGTTATTAGAAAATCTAATGAAGCGGTAAGCTATTAGTTTCATCTGCTAATGTACTGTTTAAGGGAATGGCACCATTTTTTTTTTTTTACCTTAACTTTTATTGTACAGTTTTGCTAATGCCAGTAATTCTTTATATCATTGATTTACTATCCTTTAACTGTACAGTAGAACCCCTGTATCCACTGATTCGGTATCCACAGTTTCAGTTATCCACTGTTTACTGTGGCCCAAAAATACCTCTTAATTTTGCATAATAATGGCCCCAGAGTGCAAAAGTGGAAAAGTTGGCAGTTCTTCAAAGCCTAAGAGAAGCTGTGAAGTGCTCCCCATCAGTGAAAAAATGATAATGTGCATAATTTATTAATCAGACTTTATGATAGCCATGTATAGGACTTATATACATGTATATAGGGTTTGCTACTATCCATGGTTTCGGTACCCACTGCAGGTCCTTGGAACATATCCCCCGTGGACTTGAGGGTCCTACTGTATTTTCCTTCTTAGCACATTGGCCATTTCCTACCAAGTTAGGATGAAACAAAGAAGGAAACACATTCATCATCATTCTGTGATTAATTATCTTACCAGAAGTGCATATTGGTTAATTATCTTGCCAGAAGTGCATATTGGTTAATTATCTTGCCAGATGTGCATATTGGTCCTGTTGTCTCTGAGCACCTCTGCAAAGACAGTGATTATATATTAGTGATGGTGAAAGTGTTGAATGATGAAAGTTTATTTCTTTCTTTTTGGGCTTTTCTTTCTTTTTGGGTCACCCTGCCTCAGTGGGAAACGGCTGACGTGTTAAAAAAAAAAGTGGATATATGTACATCATTTCAAATGACCCTCTGACTTTTGGTATCCTCACTGCTCCTTCACGTGCAGGAACTGTACTTCCCACCTCCTGAACTCAAATCCAGCTTATGCCCACTAAATATGCTGTACTCTTATTCTCTTTATCATTATACTGCAACATTTTATAAATATACAGCCTCTCCTCACTTAACAATGGAGTTCCGTTCCTAAGACCTCGTCTTTAAACGAATTTGTCGCTAAGTGAGGAGCAAGATGTAATGGTAGTGGGTTTGTGTCAATCATCTTTGATCTTGTTTTAATGTTACCTTTGCACCAATTATAACACTTCTTGTATATTTTTAAATGTTTATACAGTAGTGTACTGTATATTGAAATAAACAGAATAGAGGAAATCAGCTCTAATATACATTATTTATGTATGAATACTGGTCAGAGAGCCCATCATAAGTCTGAGGCATCGGTAAACAAGTACGTCGCTAAGTGAGGAGAGGCTGTATTTGTCAAGGGCAGAAAGAATATTTCTTAAAAACTCCCCTAAATTACATGCAGTACATCCACTAACAACCTCGGCACTTGTGAGCCATTTAAAGTTTTACTGAGCTGTAGTGTGAATTCATATGAAACATAACTTTCCTTAGTATTACTTTTTTTATTCAACTAATATAAATTGAGGAAAACTTCTCCCTCATCTTGTATTACAGACCTACATTTCATTGACCACAAACTTAATCTATTTAAATTTTTCCACAGTTTTACCATTTTTCATCGCACATCATTTCTTGTTTATTGTTCCTTTGGAATGCAGTAATGGACGGTATAAAACATTGGGCTCTACTATTGGCCTTTTAGTTGCTCACCATTTTTGTCTAGTTAATATGGATTACAATGAATTTATCAGTTAAGATTTGGCACTCAGAGGCTGACTCAAACATGGGTTCAAAAGTAAGATATAATGGAGCTAAAACCACATCAGGCAGTCATTGGTTAAGAGCTAGGTTTGACAATCCTGAATGCACTATGTTTTTTTCAAGAGTTGCAATGATTTATCATGGAGAGGGATGTATGTTCATACCTTTATAGCTATTATTGAAGTGTAATTATTGTAGTCCTCTTTATCATTTTTATTCTACACATGACATAGACCAGGGTTATAAAAGGTATTATTCAGAAGGTAGAGGAAGGGTTGGTGAGGTGGTTTGGGCATTTCAAGAGAAATGGAGTTGAACGAGATGACCAAGGGGGCATATAAAGCCGGGTGAAAGCAAGGAGGGGATAGGTCATCCCAGAAAGGATTGGGATATAGGTCATCCCAGGAAGGATTGGAGAGAAGGTGTAGATTATATTTTGAGTAGTAGGAACCCGAGCATCCGAGAAGCATGTTGAATGTGCTAAAGTGGGATGAGTGGAGATAAATAGTTTTAGGGATTTAATGTGCTGTTGGCGTGTGGGTAGGGTAACATTTATGAAGGGACTCAGGGAAAAGTTAGCCAAACTTGAATCATGGAGGTGGGAAGTACAGTGCCTGCACTCTGGAGGAGGAGTAAAGATGTTACAATTCAGAGGGAGCATTTGAATTGCAATATCTGTGCACCTCTGGCACAGTAGCTATTGAAGGAATGACCGTGTATTTTTTTTTTTTTTTTGGGTGACCCTATTTTGTTGGGAGGTAATCAGTATGGTATTAAAAATACATTATGTATATTTTCTAGGATTTATGGTTATTAGTTGGTATGTGCTAGGACCACAGTCATTATTAATAATGTACACCTTACGTCTTACTTAGAATTGATTGAGATTATCTCTTTTTATTGATAGATGTTGGGACCACAATCAAGCTCGAAGGCCTCGTATGGAAGAGGTGGTGGAGAAAATATCTGTTGTCATACGTTTCCTGAAAGGTGCTGACGAACCTATAAATAATCCCCCATCAGATGACTCTATCACAGGTGTGGCTTCAACTGCTATCATTTAGTTTGTAAAGAATAAAAAAGGCACAATAATGTGACTAACTTAATGATCCAAGTTGGACCAAAACATCAATATAAGCTTTGTCTCTTATGTGCAGGAATTAATTGGCTAATTATCATAAAATGAAGTACATACTTCCTCTATGTTGAATTCAATACTTCGTTCCAAACGCAACAAAATTATTATTATTTTTTTTTTGTTTTTATTAACACACGGCCGTCTCTCACGAAGGCAGGGTGGCCCATAAAAGAAAATCTTTCATCATCATTTACTCCATCACTGTCTTGCCAGAGGTGCGCTTACACTACTGTTATAAAACTGTAACATTAACACCCCTCCTTCAGAGTGCCGGCACTGTACTTCCCATCTCCAGGACTCAAGTCCGGCCTGCCAGTTTCCCTGAATCCCTTCATAAATGTTACCTTGCTCACACTCCAACAGCACGTCAAATCCTAGAAGCCATTTGTTCTCCATTTGCTCCTATCTAACACGCTCACCTATGCTTGCTGGAAGTTCAAGCTCATCACACACAAAACCTCCTTTACCCCCTCCCTCTAACCTTTCCTAGGCTTACCCCTACCCCGCCTTCCCTCCACTGCAGATTTATACACTCTCGAAGTCATTCTGTTTCTTCCCAACCTCTCTACATGTCCGAACCACCTCAACAACCCCTCCTCAGCCCTCTGGATAATAGTTATGGTAATCCCGCACCTCCTCCTAATTTCCACACTATGAATTCTCTGCATTATGTTCACACCACACATTGCTCTCAGACATGACTTTCTCCACTGTCTCCAGCCCTTCTTGTTGCAATATTCACCACCCATTTTTCACACCCATATAAGAGCATTGATATAACTATACTCTCATACATTACCCTCTTTGCTTCCATGGATGAAGTTCTTTGTCTCCACAGACTCCTAAGGGGCACCACTCACCTTTTACCCCTCATCAGTTCAAACGATTCCCCTCATCTTTCATAGACCCATCTGCTGACACGTCAGCATAATCATCTGCTGACACGTCAGCAGATGATATGTAACTTTAAAAATCAATACCCAAATTTTGGCAAGAACATATGGACCTGAATGTCCCCTTTACTCCAGGTGCTTGTTTCCATCTGTTACAAAAAAAACGCGATTCTAAAGCTTAGAGATCTCCAGTGAATACTAGAAAGGACTGCCCTTCTAGCATCCAGCCTGTTTACTGGGTTTTCGTAACAAGAGTCAGTATCCTTTTCCAAATTTATCCATTAAAATTTAGTATGGTTCAATAGTGCTTTAGGATTACAACTGGTAGGCTAACTAACTAGAGAAATTAAAATTAATAAATTTATTAAGTAGAAAGTTGTCTAGAGGTATATTATCAAATTAAAATTAAATCACAGCAATCAAAATAAAATCAATCTCTCGAGTTCAATTTATTGTGCTGAAAGCACATATCACATTTATAATTCTTAAGTACCGTCAGGTACATTAACATTAATAAGATATTAAAAATATGTACAAGTGTGTGTATGCGTATAAGTGCTCTTAAGTAGTTAGCTATGTCTCAAGACTCGAATAAGATTTAAAAACAAGTGATGACAAAGTCCTCAAATAAACTAACTTCTTGACCGACTGGAAAACCCGAACAGTTCTGCTTGAACAACAAAGAATGCTAAGCCCAATAGCAATGCAATATGCGACTGCGACACAATCAGGATCAAGGAGATAAATAACGACACTAAGTAGGGACCATCAGCAGATCCTCCACCAAAGTTACAAAACTCCCATAATACTGAATCTTCGTTCAGCATAGGAAAACCCGACTGTGACAATGCACAGAAACCAGTACAAAATTAGGTCAGAAGCTATAACTAAAGGACCTGAGATATTCGAGTGTCTAAGTGACACACAACCTCAATACAACGTCGAAAATCACTAAGTCTTTAAAATGTTCTGTGAACAAAGTTCTACAGAACTAACAAGAATAATGAGACAGACAATCTGTCCAACCAGCAAGCGAGTCTCTAGCAGACTCAGACAGACAATGTCCAACCAGCAAGCGAGTCTCTAGCAGACTGACTACTTCAGACGAGGTGAGGACACCCCCCCCCTCGATCACGTGATAGCTATGTGGACAACTGCAGCTCAGAAGCCGGCAGTATAACGAGCGACAAGCGATAATTACAGTAGTTTGACAATCAAGCCTAACTGAGCACATTTTATATACATCCTAACAACATAAGCTAAATAACAATATAACAGTCAAATAATAATATAAAGTCATACATTTACGATTTTAGCTATTATCGCAATAAAAAAGCAATATAAAATTAAAAATTTAAAAGATAAAATACATTACATATATACATAATAATCATTGTAACCCATTCAGGGGTTGCAACACCCCCCCCAACACGACAGAGGGTCGCACTAGGAGTTGCATTAATGTCTCTCACATTATTTCTGATTACTCATATCAATATTATATAATATAAAAATTATTTAGTCACTCTCGTCCCAAGCACCTCTACAATTTCACAGCGTCCGTCACTAGGATGTACTAGGGCAGTACACAGTATCGTATCTCTTCATACTCGTGGTTATGTACATCAATGTAGAGACTGGATAGCGCTGACAAGGAGGGCACGTTGAGGCTCGATCATTGTAGAGGAAAACTGCATTCCACTCTTTAAATAGTGGGTTTGGAATGCGAGGCAGTTGAACATTGAGTATGAAACGCTTAAAGGGGTGTATGAGGGGGGGGG